GAAAATAGCCTATATGTCCATCAATACTAGAATAGATAAGTAAATTCTGGTATATCCATGCAATATAGTAACCTACAGCAATGAAAATGAATAAACTACGGCCACATCCACATGAGTGAATCTTAAAGACATAACGTTGATCAAAAAAATTCAAGATGTGAGAAAACTTACTCTATGATTCCATTTATGCAGAGTTCAAAAACAAGCATAAGCTATATTGCTTAAGAACGAGTAATTAGGCAGCAAAACTATAAAGAAAAGCAAGAGAGTGAATATGTTAATAATCATGATAGTGGTTATCTCTAGGCACTTGGGGGTTATAAGGGAAGGAGCATATTGGGGCTTTTTGGAGTGTTGGTAATGTTCTACTTTTTGACCCAGTGAGGTTACATGAGTGTTTGATTTATAGTCTCTAAGTAGTACCCTTCTGTTTTATGAACTTTTCTGTGTGTTTATTTCCCATCACAAAAAAATAATTCTAATCTTCTCTTTTTCCCTCTTACTTTCGATTCTTCCTCTACTTAAAAGCATCTACAGTACCTCAGAGATACTTAGAGTTGTTACAACAAGACAACGAAAAGAACAAACAATTCAGTCTTTAAAAACAAAAACACTTCCAAAGTGGTTTTGAGAATAAAAAAAGCTTTGATGAGAGTGAAACATAGCATTTGACCCTATTTCCCTCCCAGCCCTGGCCAGATCAGCTAAAAACCTCTGAATTAGGAGGAATATACAGAGCAGAACACTGAAGAAGATTGAGGGGCCAGGGATGGAAGAATGAGTTTTGATGGGAGTGGTGGAAACAGAGCATCAGAGGGTGGACAGGGCAGGAGGCCTGGGCTAGGAGCCAGGAAAGCTGTGATCATAGCAGCCTGTGAGGGCTGCCTGCTGCCTACATAGGCATCATTCAGCCAAGGACACCAGCTTTCCTCTGACCTGCTTGGTGGAAAGCCTAGGACACCTCTGTCAAAAATAAAGGGTGAAGTCTTGGACCACCTGGTACTGTACCATCTTCCTCTCTTCATTCCTCCCATCCCTTTTTCCCCTAGAAATTTTAGTCTGTTGGGCCCAAGAGCCTATATTTTAATAAGCACCTTGGGTAACTCTCATGCAGGTGGCCTCTGGTGCTGGAGTACCATTGCCCAGGGAAACTCCCCGATAAGAAGAATCACCAGTGGCACTTGTTAAAAATTCAAATTTCTGGGCCCCATACCAGACATGTGGAATCAGAATCCCCAGGGAAGGGGCCTGAGGATTTGGTTTTTTAACAAAGGCCTGAAGTGACTCACAGGGAAGTCTGGGAAACTGCTCTAGAGACTTCCACTTGTTGTTTTCTGTTTTTCTGCTATGTATTTTTTTTTTTTTGAGGAAGACTAGCCCTGAGCTAACATTTATGCCCATCTTCCTCTACTTTATATAGGACGCTGCCACAGCATGGCTTGATAAGCAGTGTGTAGGTCTGCACCTGGGATCCTAACCTGCGAACCTTGGGTCGCAGAAGCAGAGTGCACGAACTTAACCGCTAAGCCACCAGCCCTCAATGTATTTTATTTTATTTTATTTTATTTTATTTATTTTTTGAGGAAGATCGGCCCTGAGCTAACATCTGCCAATCCTCCTCTTTTTTTGCTGAGGAAGACGGGCCGTGGGCTAACATCCATGCCTATCTTCCTCTACTTTATACGGGATGCTTCCACAGCATGGCTTGCCAAGCGGTGCGTCGGTGCGCGCCCGGGATCCGAACCGGCGAACCCCGTGCCGCTGCAGCAGAGCGTGCACACTTAACCACTTCCACCACCAGGCCGGCCCCTACCCCCTCAACGTATTTTAAAACAAAACATTTATTTATAATAAGATATTTGCACTTTGAAAAAAAATAAGTACCTTGTGGAAAAGAACAGATTACAAACTGTAACATATTTTTTTTTCTTCAGCCCAGACTTCTCAGTGCTGCAGATCCATAGATCTGTTCATGTGACATTTCTCCTTGAAGTCACAAAAACATCTTAAACACCATTTTCAAATTGAAAACACCATCTTCCTCCAAACCTGACTCTTTCACTGTTCTCCACTTCTCAGTGATAGCATTCCTATCCACGCATGGGGCCCACCAGAAATCCTATCACCTCTGACTCCTCCCTCTCCTTCAATCCCGGTTCTACCCCAACATATCTAAATTCATCACCAAGATCTCCCATTTTACTTCCCAAAATGTTCCATTTTCCCCACTTGTCTCCATCTCCTTCTTCTCAGCCCAATCCACTTGAACTACTACCAACACACATCACCATCCATAGATCCTAATTGGTCCAATGCTGACCCTGTTCATGCCCCACACTGCAGCTGGAATAATCTTCAAAACGCAGATCTGATTAGGTCAAATCCCCTCCCCACTTTGCTCTCAAGTAAAAGACGAAGGTTCTCCGTATGGCCAATGAGATCTCGCTTCATCTGGTCTCCAGCTTCATACTGTAGCACTCTCTCCCAGCATTCTGTGCTCTAGCCACAATGGCCTCCTTTCAGTCTCTCAGGCTTGCAATGTTCACTCCTGACAAATGGCCTTTACACATGATGTTCCCTCTGTTTCCTTTTCTCCTTTCTTCAGCTTCTTATCCTCAGATCTCCATTCCAGTGTGACTTCAAGGAAGCCTTTCTGATTCTTCTGACCAGATTAATGAATGACTATATACTGTAAGCTCTCATAGCAGCTATCTCTTTCAACTTTCATTGATTTCTCTAAATAAATGTGGCTCACTTATTTGTTGAGTTAGATCTGTTAGAATTCCTTGACTAGTTTGTTTCCTTTCTCATCTTCTCCGGTGTTCTTCCAATTTCACTTCCTTAGAATCTATCCCAGAACAATTTTAGGATTAGTAGGGAATAATTTTAATATGTGGACTTAGCTAAAGTACCACCTTCATTAGCTTTCCCACGTCCCCTCTGCCTGCTCTTGTCTTATCATTTTTCCAATCTCTTGAACATTTGCCTCTATCACAGCAGTTATTTACCCTATATTGTATTTTTTGTTTGTTTTCTTGAAAGTTTCTCTCACTAGTGTCAGTTGCCTTAGGGCAGCTGTTTTATTTATCTCTATATCTTCAGCACTTAACACAGGGTCTTGTCCTCAATAAATATTTGGAATGACCCCTGTGGCCTGTAGTCCAGCCGTATAGTACATATGTTGATTTCTTCGCTCGTTATGTCTTCCCTCACTGTGCCAGACAAACTCTTACCACTTGATGTAAAGGAGGTAGTGGTATAGTGTTACCTTCCACAAAACACATACTCTTTCTGCCTTCAGTTTCTTCTTTTGAAAAATGATACTTATCTTAAAAGGTTGTTGGGAGGATTAAAAGAGTCAATGATTCACCACTTCTCTCCCTCCCCTTGCCAGGCCAAATCTCTCCCCTTCTAGAGCAATTACGTAGGGAATTTTCTCTCAGGATTAGGTTTTTGGAATCTCTTGCACTTAGCTAGCTCTTCTCTGTCTCCGGGTTCCTGTTTTTTTCCCCCTATACAATAGACCTTGATGGCTTAATTAAAACTAGAGAACAAGTCATTAGCAAGTGGAATACACTTCTTCCCTGTTCTCTTAGGAGAAGAGATCTTCCTGAGGTGAAGAGATGTATTTGCATAACTGCACAGGCCTTTTTTTTTTTTTTTTAACTTTGAAATAGCAAAAGATGAAAAACAAAATGCTTAAATTTCCATATCAAAATAGGTGAAATCTCTCTTTTCATTTTCTTCTAGATTTATAAGGTGCCTGACCCAGAGTACACAAGAAATAATAAACTTTGGTTCCCTTTTCTTCATCCTTTCAAGTTTACAAAGCTGTAACTAAAGATATTAGCTGTTAGGACAAGCAACTCCACAGTGAATTATCTGGTAGCTTCCAGTATAGTAAATTGTTCTAACCAAGTAGATACTACTCAGTTTCTCTTCTTACTTTATCTGTTTGCATTGTCAAAGTTTAAATGCAGCATATTAAAAGGATTATACTCTTTAAAAATCATGCAAACTTTTTATTATTTAAAATGTGTATGTAACTAAAAAAAATTTTTAAATTCCATAAAAAATGTTTGCACACAAGGCTAAAACACGTCACAGGGGTAAAACATGACAAAAGCTTTTGCTGAAATTTCTCTTCTTTTCTCCAAGTTACCTCGTGGGGTTCAAGAATCATTTGTTATTTAGACTTGTCAGTCCCAGGTGACTAGAAAACGATCTTTAGCCAATATTTCGAATCTGAGGCAAATATAGTCTGAGTGGTTTATTCGTGGGCCCACGTATCAGGACCTGTGAAGGGGGTGTTTTTGAGGTGAGAGTTTTAAGGTAGAAAACTCAGCTTATGTTGTTATCCACAGGTTTGAAATCAACATCAACTTCAAACATTTGAAGTTTACCACACGCCGGCGAGGTAAGCGTCCAGGCATCCAATGACCCTTTTTGACGTCAGGAGTGATGAAAGCCTCAAGCACTCCTGGCTGGAGTCTACCCTGAATTTTCTCCACTGGCTTGTTTGGGAACTGGGTCTCTTCTAAGCTATGTCGTATTAACTTGCTCTGCTGCCGGGTGGATGACAGCTGCTCGGGGACTCTTCAGGACGGACTCCTTTCCAGACGCACCCACCTTCACCCTCAACCCCACTCTCCTCTCGCGGCAGTCTAGGACCACCAGGACCAATTTTGGGGTTTTCTTTCTCCAGCGAGACTTGGTACTGCAGGCTTGACAAGAAAAGATGGAGGGAGAGGAAGAGGAAGAAGTAACTGCATTGGTAAGAGTCATAATAAACGGCAGTACATCTCCAAGACGCGGCGACCAGCACCGTATTTGGCTGCGGAGGCCATACGGACGGGCGCCCTCGGGCCGACCTCCCCACTCCCCCGCCCCAACTGCGCGCCCGAGTCACAGTCACGTGACGGGGGAGCGGCGCGCGCCGGCCGCGGCGCGGATTGGCCGGCGGCGGGAGCGCGGGGTTTGATGGGAAGGAGTTGGCCCGGCCCGGAGCTCTGTCAGTGGCGGCGGCTGCCTGCTCCGGAGGCGGGCTGCGCGGTGGCCGCCCAAGCTGGCTGGGGTGGACGCCAGCGCCGGGCTTTGCCCGCTTCTTGAAGGTAGAGCGCTCACAAGGAGGGCAGTTGGGAGGGCTCGGCAGAGGGGAGGTGCGCTGAGCTTTGCCGTGGGAGATACGCTCCCGGTTCCCCCCGCTTGCCTCTCCCGGGCGCCCCGCCCCATGCCGAGTGGCCTAGGAGCTCCGCGGCGCCGGCTGGTCAGACCCCTGCCCGGCAGCGCGTTGCGCCAGTGTCGCCGCCTGGTCCCCTTGATTATCCTGCACCGTGGCAGGGGTGGCTCTGGAGTGCTGGAGACTCCTTTCTGCCCCCGCCCCGCCACGGGGAGGTGGTTCTCCAGCTCGGTTCACGAAGATGCCGGGGGGCGGGGAGGGTGGTGACTGGATGGATCTGAGCATCGGCTCTTTGGCCCGCCTATGCCTAGGCGAAGGGTCAGAAGGTCCTATGCTAAGCTATCGCTTTGAGTGTTCTACCCGTCTCTTCTTTCTCTGAGTTTGTGCGGAGGCGCCATGAGTTGGAAAGATCTGGAGGGACCGAAAACTGTCAGTGTCATGCTGCTCGGCCCAGGCGTGTGGGCGTGGATTTTGTGCTGCTTTACAGAAGCCTCTCGACAACCGTGGTCCTTGTTTGAGGGACGGTGGGCGGCCTAAGGGGGATGGGGGGAGAGGGAATGGTGAGGGCATAGGTGGCATAAACATGGCAGAAGGAGAAGAGCAAATCTAAACTACATCAATAGTTTTAATTCTTTAATATTGTGTATGGGGATTGAGAGAGAGTTGCGATTGGTGGACTAGTTTTGCTGATGGTGCCCTCACTGTGCTAAGTAAAACCCATGACTCACTGAGTTTTGCATGTTCCCGTTTTCCCAGTTGGCTTCTGCTCTGTGGTCCCTTAGTGTCAACTGTGTTTTCTCCTTTCTCTGTGGCTTGGGTGTCACCGTTGACAAAATTGACCGTATTCAACGGCGGTTTTTGTGGATGTGAGTAAGTTTGGTTTCAGGCATATGTTCACACTGGCAGGGAATGCTAATCTCTTGTCCTCAGCAGTCCCCATAGATCCATTTTAGGAGAAGCAAGTTGATTTTGAACACATTTTTTTAAAACAAGAGTGGTGCATTTAAAATTAGAATTTTAAGTTTCTCTGTCATCTACTGAGATCAACCCAATGCTATTAATAAACTTATATAGTGTTTCTATGTTATTAACTTGAAAGAGAATATAAGAAAAGGAAGAAGTTATATAGCTATCAAATAGGTATGGTTTCATATCGAAATCTTTCTAATCAAATAGTCATTTTTTTGGAAGTATTTAGTTCAGAATGAACATAGACTCACCATGAAGACCAGAACTTAACCATCATATAATAGAAGTGCTTTTAGAGGTGCTTCTTTATTGCTTTTTTTCAATAATTTTATTTTTGAGTAGTATGTGGTGGTTTGGGATATTTCAGAATTGCCTTTTCATTTAGGATATTTGAAAGTTAGAGTTCTACAACAGATCACTTTTAATCTTAAATTGAATGAGACAATATGTTAGAGAGGTACTGTTGATAGTGACTGAATAGTTTCTAGTTAAGTTTAGAACTTGAGAAACGTAAAACTGAACTTCCTTTGCTGTTAAAGGCCTACAAGATTATTTTAATGGAAGAATCTGCAAAGTATTTTGCTTTATTTTTTATACTAGGGAAAATGAGAGCAATACAATTTCAGTTAAATACAAACTAATTTTATTTTCCAATTTTAAAATTATGAAACAGGTCCTTTCTTCATAAGAAATTAGAAAGAAATGTGGTCCATATGAGAAGTATTGTCTGTACTACATGTGTTTTCTGATAATAGTAATAATAATGGCTACAATTTATTATGCACTTACTATTTGTTGGAAAATATACGAAGGGATATATAATTCCATTTAATTCATACAACAATTCTGTGAAGTGTAGATATTTTCACCACTTTACATATGTGGAAACTGAGGCTTAAAGAGTTTAATTTACCCAAGATCACATAGCTAGTATGTGGTTGAGCCATATTTTGGATCCAGACCTTTTTTACTTCATTATTTTAATATGCCATGAAGTGGGTGAAAATTTAAGAATGACATGCCCCATGATTTTAAATTCTGACACCCAGACCTGACAGTGAATAGCAGTTAATAGAAAACATTCAAATAATGTGGTGGGCATTGTTATTGAAAAACACATTAGATGCACCCAGCTCTTAAAGTCATGTGAGGTCCCACTGTGATATCAGAGTAGAAAGAGACTGTCTGTACATGTTCATGGAACAGTTCTTGGGGACAAGCCACTTGAGATTGAGCCATCTGTCCACTCAAGGGCAAGCAAATTGATTTACGCTTCAGAAAGAAATGGTAGGTATTTGGTTTCCATGTATCTTCCGTGTGTTGAAAGGAAGCAGAGATGAACTAGAAAATCGGCCACAGCAGTAAAAACAACAATTTGTATTGAGAAATTAGTATGTGTCAGGCACTATTGTAAATACTTCAGAATGTATTATGTCATTTAAGCCTTTCAACATTCAAGAGGTTCCTTAACTATCCCTCTTTTGCAGATGAAGATATTGAGTAACTGAGAAGTTAAGTAACTTATTTGCCCAAGGTTTCTTAGTAAGTAATGGGCCACAGCAATTGGAGTTAAGATGTTTAAGTCGCAAAGAGGGAAAAAGTGTTTGAAAATAGAAGACGTATGAAAATAAAGCTATAAAGAAATAGTTGATTTCTTTAATTTTGTTATGCTTTTATATTTGTTGGAAAGTACTGCCATTATATGTGTATTATGGTAAATCAGCTTCTTTAACAAATACCAGAATTTGAAAGGAAAATTGCTGGAACAATGAGGATTTTCTGGTTCTTTGATTATGATCCTGAGAGCATGGATATAGCATTTAATGACTATTACCCTAATGTTGTTTTGGAGGACAAATTTAAAAGCACAATCCTCTGCTTCAGGGATCTTAAAGGCTGAGCTGTAGTTTGTTTCGTTAACACCAAAACAATTCTCCAAGCAAATAATTGATGTCAAAGTTGGTATTAATTGCAGTATTATGCATATATTTCATATTACAATTATTTTAAAAGTGATAGGCAGTAAACCAGTAAAGGCACTGCTTGGAGACTTCTAGTATCAGTTCTGCTCCTAGCTGGAGCTACATGATTTTGGTAAATCATTTAGCTTCTCTTCCATGCAGGTTTAAGCATTCAAATTTAATCAGATGAAGGAAGTGGGCTATGTGATACTCTGTACTAACACTGTCTCTTGTGTTTATAACTCACTTTCCACCTCAGTAGCTGCATTTACCAGCCATTTGAGAATGTCGGGGTGCTTTCCTATATTTTATGTATAAATATTCCAATCTAATCTCTGTAAAGGAGACTTTATTTCTGATTTTGTGTTATTGGAAATAGGTGGTTGCTTTTTAAAAAATCAAAACGAAAATACTGTCTGGCTTTGCTGCTTACTATCGTTGAGACTTTAGCATATTACTTCACTTCCCTAGCCTCAGTTTCCTCATTTGTAAAATGGAGCGATAGTAGCATCTAAATGATAAAATTCATGTAAAGCATTTGTTTCAGGCCTGCTAGAGATTAAGTGCTTAGCAAGTGTTTACCTGATGTTATCATTATTTTCAAATATTAAAAATTCTGATTTGTGATGGCTACAAACTTAACTTGAAGGCATATAACTCTGTTACAACACAAAATGTGTAGGTCAATTGTGTATAAAACACTGTGCTAGACACCTTATATTAGTTCCAAAATAGTGGGATGATGTATATTTAGAAAATACCAAGTTAAGTGCTTCATCTGAATCTCCTTTCCCTGGTTACCTTTCTTGGTGATTATTTTTAGCATCTTAAGGAGGTTTTAAGATCCATTTAATGTCCTAATTCAGAAATTTGTACTTTGATTCAGTAGAGTTCCAAGATTTCTTACAACCGAATTTTAGAAATTTGAATACTGAGTTAATATTGAAGGATTAATATTTAGGTTGCATTTTAAATGTGGCTTATAACATTCATTATATTTATAAAGTTCAGAATTTTTCAGGACAGAATATAGGTATATCTGTCCCTAAAAGTTACTTTGTAAATGAAAGTATTTCATAATTAGGCTCTTTGTCACTTCTTTAACCAAGAAAGTCCAAGGTAGGTATGCCTTATACTAATTTCAACCTGTAAATAGAGCTGCAGAGTGAATGTACTTATGTGGCACTGGCATTATTTTGTGATTACATTTATGGTTTTAAAAATCGTAAGAATTATGGCCTAACTTTTTTTAGTGGAAATGAAGTAATTTTATACATTGGCAGTATATAACTATAACCTGGTAAAAATATATAACTTTGAAAGTGTAGTTTCACTATTTCAACTTAGAAGAATAAAAATTTATTTAATTATTGACTGGTAAATTGATTTAGAATATAATACTGCAGACATTTTCATACATACAGTAATATTACAATACATTTGAGAGTCATAGAAAAACAATAAAAGAAGGGACTATACAGCCAGCTCACATGAAGGTCAACTAACGTGAGGGACTTAGACACAATTTCAGAGCGAAATGTTTATTTGGGTGTTGAACAGTAGTGAATAGATCAGAAGTCTGAAAATAGAGCAGCTTTGGGCCATGTTTCTTCTGAGCTATTGGGCTAATCACTAAACATCTTTTCACTTAATTTTCTTATCTGTAAAATGGTAATAATGAAGGCTCACTTGTGGAAAGTGGTAGTATTAACTCTAATTTACAGAAAAGAAAATTAAGGCTCAGAAACATTAAATGATTTGCTCAAGGTCACAGGTAGCCTTGTAACCCTTATTTTCTTATTCAAAATCCAGTTGGCTTTCTATTATTACTTTTAATGTGATGTTATTCTGTACATTGTAAAACATTTCTTATTCCAAGTAACTAATTTAGCTGAATGATAGAAATGGTAGTATTTAAAAGCATGTAGAATGAAAGTAGTATAGTAAAACTTTGCTTAGAAGAACAACATAGGGGACCTACTTTAAAGAACAGAAAGCGCAAAGTGGTATGAATATACACTTCTAAATTGCCTTCCCAGTGAAAAAGCTTTTTCAGCTTTATTTTCACTTTTAAATATGTCCTGGCTTAGAAGAAAGGATTTTGTAAAAGGTGGATTCTATCCTAAGACTGTCTGAATTAAAATTCCACATAAAGGGAGTCTAAAAAAATTAATACTTTACAGTATTTTTAGGCAGTATTGCAACATCTAAATTTTATAGTGAGTTTGCTGTATGTTTAACGTACATTTTTTAAATACTCGCTTTATTTCTAGCTGTGAATTCCTTTGGACAATTGATGATATTTATCATTGTGCCCAATTTCTACAAATAAAAGATGGGTGGATTATTTTCTCGATGGAGGGTAAGTTACTTTTCTTTACAGCCAGTAATTAGTCTAATATAAAATTGTCACATTAAGCTATTTGTAAAAGTCTCCTTTGTGGTGTAGACTTGAGTTGTAATTTGATATTATCTCTGACTCTGTATATATATATTTTTCTTTCTTCTCTTATGAATTATTTGGACTTGAATAGCTTTACTTGCTATATAGATGTCTAATGTCTCTGTTTAACAGAATTATTTCTCTTTGACTTATGAAGTATTTTTATTTCTCTATGTATTTCTGTACAAATGATTATTTTTTTCTTGTTTTCTTCTCATACTGCCTAAATTTCAATATTATTTGAAAGATAGTTGAAATTAAGTATTCTATACAATACTTACATTTTTACAGGCTGTATCTTTTTGCTTAAAGCTTGTCACAAATATTTACTGAAGTCACACTAAATATACTTTTAGGAATTGTAGGTTAAATAAAATTAAAAATGCAGTTTGATTTTATTGGTTAAGCCCTTAGAAGAAGTATCTCAAATTTAGAGCTAGAAAATATAAAATATGTTGATAAATGCCCTTCTCTAATGTAAGAGGAGATAATGTAGTTTAGGACAAACTACTTTGCTTATTTTTTGACTCCTTTTTACCATAATAATGGAGTCTAGCAATACTTCGTGCACAATTTAGTTTTTGGACTATTGCTGGAACTGCTGTGTTTTGGATTGGCATTACATTGACCCCTCCTCTTTATAACCTTATTACAATTCTGCTTAAGGATCAAATTTATCTATTCTTCTTTTGTCTTCAGTGTTAGGTTGAACCATATGAAATTGCCAGTATTCAACAGCTTTGACTTAAATAAACAGCAATTTCATATGGTTCAACCTTACGTTAACAACTCGTGTGGGAACTACAATGAATTGATATTCATTACCTTCTTAGATTATTAAGTATATGATTGGTAAATATTTTCTCAAGTATGAGCCATTTGGCTTGTTTTTATTCTAGGTGGTATAAAAAATATCTTTGACAAACAATAATGAAGTATTCTAAGATGCCCTTTTAAAATCTGATCTTCAGAAAAGTATTTTAGGAATTCAGAAGGGAGGTAATCTATTGATTTTGACCTCCAGAGTTCTAAGTGAACTTTTAGCAGTAGCAAATCAGACCATCTTTAGTCTTGAATTTTTTAATATGTGAATTCTTTTGAGTAATACTATCTAAGAAAACTTTTCTTGAAGAAAAAATTTGTTTCTCTCTATAAAAGTATGTTCTGTTGGGGTTAAGAATGGTAAACCCGTTTATGATTACATAAATCAAAGTGTTTCTAAGTTTGCAGTAACAAGTTTTAATGTTCTCTCTGATTTCTCTTTCTATAACAGACGAAACCTTCCACTGTAGAAGTTCTGGAAAATATAGATAAGGTATGTTCCTTGGCTCTGGGGTGTTTTAATTTGTTTTAGGTGTTATGTAAATATTATCTTAGTATATATTATTGTATATATTATTTTGGAGTCCAGATTGCGTGTGGGAATTTAGAGATGATAAAGAGTAAACCTGAGAACTTTAATGTTACATCACCTTGAAAAAATCCAAAGTCTGTCAGTGACTTAAGAAGTCTGTGTCAAGTAACAGAGCCTGTTAGAATGAAATTAGATCTACAGCGTGGTGTAAATCAATGCTACGGATAGGATAAAGTAGATTATAAAGTAGTCTATGACAGTTTTTGTCAGTTTACAAACTTCACAGCTTTTTATACTTTCTATCATTATCAAAAGTGGTTATTCCTTGGGAATATTGAGAGTGATGAATAGATTGAAACAAACTAGTATGAGTCACTTTGAATTTTTATTAATTCTTTCTTTTTATAGCCAGATTTTTTTTAGGCCTTATACAGGAAGAATTATTACTTGTTTGATTTAACAAATACTATTTATTGATGCCAATTTTATGCGTCTGATGTTTGCTAATTTGACAGGTTAAAAATAGTATTTTAATTTTGCTTTTAAACAAGTGATTTGTCAGAATAGGCATTTTCATGTATTTATCTTCATTTTTTGTTTTCTTTTTCATATTCTGTTTTAAAATATTAAGATATTATATTTCATTGAATTTTATGAGTTTTTTCTATATAACCTTTCTATCATGTTAAATTTTTGTTAAGATTTCAATTTCCTTATGAAATTTGAGATAATCTAGAATAATTTTCTCTTAACAGGAAATTCAAGCTTTGGAAGAATTTAGGGAAAAAAATCAGAGATTACAAAAATTATGGGTTGGAAGATTAATTCTCTACTCCTCAATTCTCTATCTGTTTACATGTTTAATTGTATACTTGTGGTATCTTCCTGATGAACTTACAGCAAGACTTGCCATGACACTCCCATTTTTTGCTTTCCCTTTAATGTAAGTAAATTATTCTTTTTGTTGACCTTTCCTCTTTCTGACCAGATAGTTTTAATATATTCAGTCTCTTTTTTATTATGAAATAGTAATGTCTCAGACTGAATAAATTTGCATATTTTTTGCAGTTTGAAAAATATTTCTTTAAAAAAGTAGAACAGTTGTTTTAGACCTTTATTTGCAGTCCAAAATACCTGAGGAATATGGCCCAGTGATATTGGTAATAATGGCTCTATATGGCAATCTTTTGTGATTCTCTAATATATGGTCATGCTCCCTTAAGGGTATTGGGCATGGAGTGGGCATGTCAGATTGTGGGTAGTGGAAAGTGAGGGATGGTTTGTAAAACAAAGAGAGCAACTGCCCCAATGATTCTGAATATATTCCATTCATCCCACTTTACTTCCCCTCTTTTTAGTCACTGCTATAAAGCAATTGACCCTTATTATAGAAATCTTTTATAATATAGCATTTTACAGAAGGTGTGTTGTGATTGAGAATTTTGAGAGACAATTGAATGAAAAATGTGGTCGTTCAATCAACAAACATTTATAGGTAGCAGTTGTGTAGACGTTGGATTATAATGGTGTATGGTACACAAAAATACAAAATCTCTGACTGTAGATTTTAGACTGCATACATTAAATTAAATAATAAGTATGTGAATATTAAGAGAAGTGCCAAATGCTATGGCCGCATTTAACAGGGGCCCTAACACAGTCTGGGTGGAGGTGGGGATCAGGGAAGGGCCTTTGTATTCATTTTCTATTGCTACCACAAATTTAGTGGCTTAAAGCAACACCTATTTATTATATCACAGTTGTATAGGTCAGAAATTCAAGTGGCTTGACTGGGGTCTCTGCTTAGGGTCTTACAGGCTACAATCAAGGTTATCACCTGGCCTGGGGTCTTATCTGGAGTCTTTCGGAGGAGGGGTCATGCTTCCAGGCCAACTTCTGCTGCATCTCTCTAACTTTCTATTCTGCCCTCTGCCGGGGTAAAAGCTCTGCTTTTAAGGGCTTAACTGATTATATGAGACTCACCAAGATAATCCAGGATAATCACCCTATCTTCAAATCAACTCAGTAATACTTAATTATATCTGACAAGTCCCTTCACAGCAGTACTTAGATTACTGTTTAACTGCGTAACCAGAAGATGGAAATCTTGGGGAGAGAGAGGGATATCTTTAGAATTCTGCTTACCATAGACTTCCTGAGGAAGTGATGTTTGAGTTTGAGACCTGAAGGATGAGTATGTATATCAAGAGTGGTGTGACATGGTGGGTACTGTTTTAGACAGAAGGTACAGCATATTTGAAGGCCCTGAGGGAGGATAGAACATGGTAGGTTTAAAGAAATGAAAGAAGGCCAAAGATTGGATTATAGAGAAAAGTCTGAATAATTAGGCAAGGGATATTTCTTGGAGGCCTTATAGTCCATGATAAGATTTTTAGGCTTTAAGGGTAGTGGGAAGCCATTGAAGATTTTTAAGAAGGAATATGACATGATCATATTGTTATTTTGAAAATACCACTGAGGTTACAGCATGGAAAATAAATTAGAGAGGAATAAGAATGGATCTGGAGCCTCTAGTTAGAAGGTTATTATAGTTGTCGAGGGGAGAAATGATTGATGGTGATTTGCACTTGAGTAGTGGTAGCAGGGTTGAAGACAAGCAGATGGGCTGAATGAAGTGGACGGATTGAAGAGATTTAGGAGGTAGAATTGAGGTAATATAGAAAGGCTCTTGGTGATTGGTTAGATATGGGGTGAAAGAGAAGAATTACATCAAGGATAAAATTCAGGTTTAAGGCTTGGGAAATTTGGTTGGTGGTAGTGTCATTCATCTAAATAGGGAACAACATGAGGAGGAGCAGGTTTGGTGACCCACTGGGACTAAAATACCTATGTTCTATCCAAATAGAGCTGCCCAGTGGAATGCTTAAATATGAGTATGAAGCTCTGGAGAGAAATTTGAATGGGAGATAGAAATTTAGGATTTGGCAACCTATAAATACTAATCAAAGCCATCATCTGTTCATTCAGTAAACATTGAGCACCTGCGATATGTGAGGTATTGGGCTAGACCCTAGTGATTGAGAAAGTCGTGGCAAGATCTCTGCCCTCGGGGCCGGCCCCGTGGCTTAGCGGTTAAGTGCGTGCACTCCGCTACTGGCGGCCTGGGTTCGGAGATTCGGATCCTGGGCGCGCACCGATGCACTGCTTGTCCGGCCATGCTGAGGCGGTGTCCCACATACAGCAACTAGCAGGATGTGCAACTATGACAACTATCTACTGGGGCTTTGGGGAGAAAAAGGGAAAAAAAGGAGGAGGACTGGCAATAGATGTTAGGTCAGGGCCAGTCCTCCTTAGCAAAAAGAGGAGGATTGGCATGAATGTTAGCTCAGGGCTGATCTTCCTCACACACACACACACAAAAAGAGATCTCTGCCCTCATGGAGCTTACGTTCTATTGGGGTTGGAGATAAAAAGTGAGAGACGAGTAAACAAGCATAGTTAATTTAGAGAGAGATAAGTGCTATGAAGAAAATGAATGGGGTGATGAAAGGAAAAGGCTACTTTAGGATGGTCCTGGAAGGCCTCTTTTGAGGGGGTATTGGAGTGGAGAACTAAAGTATGAGAAAGAACCAGCGTGGAAAGAGTTGGAATTTCTGGAAAATTAGTTATATATACAGTATATGATAGCACATATATCCATAGAGAGATGCAGAAAAGGATTATTAATGGTAATTCTCTCTAGGTGGTAGTTGTTTCTTTCTGTTTGCTTTTTGGTATTTGAATTTTTTACGACAACGTGTTCTTCAAATCCTAAAAACAAAAAAATCTAAGAGTTGAGAGAAGATTTTTCCAAGAAGAAAGAACAGAAAATGCAAAGCCTGTAAAGTAGGAGAGAGCATAACTTGAGGGTCAAAAAGATAGATATACCTGGAATGTGTGATGGAGAAGAAGAGTGATATGAGGTGAGCTTGCAGAATCAGGCAGGATCTAGATCATGGAAGGTCATGGTGAGGAGTTTGAATTTCATTTTGGATGAAATAGGAAGCTTGTAAAGGTTTTAGTGGAAGAATGGTGTGATGAGATTTAACTTAAGAGAATCGTACGTGCTGCCTTTTGGAGGCTAAGAAGACAAGAGTAGAAACAGAGAGATCAGCTAGGAGGCTGTTATAGAAGTTTAATCTAAAAATGCAGATGCATTGGACTGCCCAGTGGCAGTGGAGATGAATAGATGACTTGGAAATATTTCAAGACAGCTTGATGGGAGGAAATGGGAGGTAGAGGAAAAGGAAGAATCAGAGTGATACTTAGGTTTTTTGGTTTGACATTTGGGGAAAGTGTAGGATCTTCTTCTTTGGAACTACTATGGTAAAATTTTTTTGTTTAGTCTTTAGGGCAGGGCATATTTTCAGAATGGAACTCCTGGAGCTTATACAGTTTTAACTCTGTGTGTAGATAAAACAGCCAAAACTCGAGTGCACGTGTATTACAAAATAATTGTCTCTGCCATTTTCTTTATTTTCCTTTTCTTTTGAAATCTTTTGGAATGCTTCTTATCCCAGGTGTAGTAGTGGATTTTATAATGCAGAGCCCCCCTTTCCCTTGTTTCCCTTCTATGTTTTGTAAAAAAGAAGGGAGAAAAGAAATTTTGAAAGGGAATAAGTATGAGATGTTAAGTTGATTTAAGCTACTTTAAAGACTTTTAAAAAACCCACTTGACATCCATTTCCATATAAAAATTCGTTTTCTGATTATCAAAGATTTGTATCTAGTTGCAGAAGAATGTCAGACAGGAAACTCTGCTGTGCTAATTCTAATGGTTTATCCACAAATTGTGATCTAGTGGATCTGCTATTATGACTCAGAAGACTTTTTTTTTGTGCAAATAAATCATATACTAATTGTTTTTAAAAGTAGAAAAACTCCATTTAAAAAATGTTTGCTATTTTTTCAGTTTGATCTTTCTACTATTTTGAATATGAAGCTTTATTATCCTTACTGTGTCCTTCTGCCTGTTCTGCATCACCTGTGTCTAGTATTTCTTGGCTTGTTAAGCTTCAGAGCCATTTCTCACTTTGTCTCATTCACGCTTGTGACCTGGGTCTCAACTGCTGCAGCTTCTGTTTCAGTGAGCTCTTCACTTTTCGAAGGATAGACCAGTTATCCAACAAAGGATGGAATTGTCCTTCTGATTGATGACAATCAAAAAAGCATGAAATAAAATACAACAATGAGAAAGTGGGTGTTGTGGTAAATAGAATGAAGGCTTACCACAGGATGTTTTCTTTTGTCTGTAATGTGAGCTATTGCCCAAGCTTATCCCTGGACTTTTTTTCCTTTGGAAACAAAAGTTTTGAGGTCTGGACCAGGATTTATTTTAAAGAAATGGAGGCAGAAGGAGCAATAAAATGTATTGCTTTACTCATCACTGTCTACCTTGATTATAAAGCTTAGAAATCTACCTGATAACTGCAAAAAATGACTGCTGTCCCTGCATTCCAAGTTTCCCAAATGCTTTTACTGGACAGAGAGGTCATGGATTCAGGACTGATGGTATATTACATAATCATAATGATTCCAAAGTTATCTTTTATGGTAGAAAATCAGTACTCTAAGATGCTTTGAGATTTTATTATATCTTCTTTTTAGGATGTAATATGCAGGAACTTGGTGTGATTTCAACCTATTGTTTTTCTGCCTTTCAGATTCAATAATATATTTATATCTCTCTGATCTTTTCAACTATTACTGAAACTGAAACTGTAATCTAAATGCTGGACTTATTTTGTAGGACTCATTAAAGCTATGCTCCATAGTGAGGGAAGGTTTGAGTTACAGTTAAAATCTTATATTTCTGCATTATGCTGGCAGTTATGCATTACCTCAGGAGTTGGTTCATTTTCTAAGAGTGAACCACCATTAACTAACCACCATTAACCACCCTTAACTAACTCTGTAAGCAGTCTTATAGACTTTTACTCCTGG